CAAAAGACTGACAGTAATGAGGATCCATGTAAATCAAGCTGTCATCTGCAAGGACAAAACAAAAGACAAGTTATTCAAAAAACACAGTGATTATTATAATGCATATCCTTGCCCAATTTCTATGCAGAGCAGCTCAAAGTCACCCACCTCCGCTGGGCTTCAAACAATCAAACGTGAGAATTTTTTTGGTCTTTCCTAAACTCGGATGGATTAAACGCTGCGTAATCGAATCTGGTTGTACAAGCACATTCTTTATGCCGCAAAGCGGGCTGTCATTTAATTTTGGTGTAGAGAAATTACTTTTACAAACACACAATTATATTAGATCATTTGCATATGATGAATGCAGACGGCAGGCTGAACCTGGCAGGGAGAATGTACTGCTTGTCATTTAGACATCATCGCGGAGTGGATTTCAAATTGCTAAAATGTAAATATTGACTACCTACATGTACAACTGAAGGTTTCCACTGGCTACTGAAGGTGATGGAGAGTGGGCTACTCTGGGTAGCTCTGAAATCTATGCAAGCTGCTTATGGAAATGGAAAAAGCCCACTATTTCAGATACCCTCGCATGATGAATGGTGTAGCATTTCTGATGGGTTTGGGAAAAATAAAATAAGCTTCTCTGATGGCGCTGGCCTTCTCTTTGCATGCATTCATTTACTTTGTCTCCTATGAAAGACTAACCTTGAAATCCAACAAAATAGTAGGCCTGTTTAGGCTTTCCGCCAATGATGCCGATACAGTCCTCTAAGCTTAATATGCTCTAGGGAAAAGAGAAAGGGAGTCGTTAAGATCACAGTATTGAAGTCGATAGCCATATCTTTAACAAATATTTTTCTCTTTGTCATTGTATAATCTACTTTGTAGTTGTACAAAAGGGTGGTTTCCAAAGCCTCACCTTGACAAAGCTCAAGTATTCTGGGTTGATTTTCTCTCCACCGAGTCTCACAGGAATGAGGATGATGACAGCTCTACTATCAGGGGCAGCTCCAGAATTGAGTCCCTGAGGATCACTGTGGTTGCCCGTCCGCCCTGAATGGCTATCGATAACATCAGCACTGTACACTGAAGACAATCAATAACACAGAGGTCAAAAACGGGTCCTTTGTCTGTCCCTCTCTCTGGTGAGTGGGACAAATATAGCCGTTACGAAATGTAATTTTACTTGTGTCAATACATGATTCATCTACAATTGTATGATGTTTGTAAGTTATCTTATATTATGTAATATTACATTTGGGTGTGTTTGTTCATATTGGGATTAAAAAAAATTTATATATACTTTCATTCAAAAGTTTAGGGTAGGTAAGATTTAAAAAAAAAAAGTTTTTGTAAGAAATATCTTATGGTTTATTTGATTAAAAATATAATAAAAATGGTCATATTGTAACCTCTTATATTTTAATATATTTTCAAATGTAATTTACTCCTGTGATCACAAAGCTGAATTTCAGCAGCCATAAATACACACTTCAGTGCCACATGATCCTTCAGAAATCATTCCAAAATATTCATTTGGTGTATATATATGTATATGTATATGTATATGTATATATATATATTTCCTTGACACTCCTCCATAGACATACATTTTTTTTTAATAAACAATACATACAGTATTGTCCAAAATTATGCTTAATGTAATTTTTTATGAAACTTATTAAATATACATTTTGGTTTCAGATTTGCTGACCAAATCTAACAATCATATATAGAGAAGATGATTTATACTGTATATAGAATCTATAAAGAAGCACAAAATTGCTTTCAAATACAAATTAGTTTGAATTTTAGTAAATTTTGGATGTCTTCTGTTAATCATATTTGCTCTTCTGTTGTTGTTCTGTGAAAGATTTTAGATTAAGATTTTCCATACCAGTGCAGTCCTGTGCTACATAAACACATATCCCTTTCAGCATCACATCTACTGCTTCATCAACAGCTTTTCTGAGGGAAAGAGAAGAGAGACAGGGTAAGAGAGATATTTGACAATCATCATAATGAGGAATGGGTAACATAAAGGACTTAAAAAATTAAATCAAATAATGCACTTTTTACCGGAGTATGTGTGCCACAACTGCTGGGCCGTACCAATCTCCTGCCCGTTTTCCAGATGTCATTCCTAGCTGCACTAGTCTGTGGATGCCCAGCTGGGCTGAGGGTGCGTCCCCAAACCAGGACACAACGGTGCGGTGATATGCCTCTTGCAGGTATGAGTCAGCCTCCTCAGCCCCTCCTTGAGCAGCACACATAGGCTGGGTGACCTGCGCTCTTTCCCCCTGAATGGAGGCCTCTAATGTAGCCACCAGTCTTCGTGCTGCACTGCTGGTCCATGTCTCTGTATCCAGGGGCTCCAAGGTCAGTGCTTCTGACCAGGTCCAGTCTGGTGATAAAGAATTTTTTAAAAAGTGTATTTAAAGGATCATGTGACTTTGAAGACTGGATAAATGGCTGCTGAAAATTCAGCTCTGCCATCACATGAATAAATTATATTTTAAAATGAAAAGAGTTATTTTCAATTCTAATAATACTTCATATTACTGTTTTTAATATATATTATTCGTCAAATAAATGGAGCCATGGTCAGCATAATTCGTGTCTTTAAAAAACATCACCAACATCAATTATTCCAAACTTTTGACCAGTAGTAATTATATTCTTTATTTTGATAATTACCTCATAAATGATATCTATTAAGAAACAATGTAGTAAGGAACAATGGAGCAGAAGTCTTTCAGAAGTCCTAAAAGTCTGTCCTAGATTTTTGAGTGACAGACATATTTAAATTTGACTTTTAAATAGACAGTGGGGCTTGTGCTTTAAGAACAAAAGTCCAATTACGATACTCCGCTTAGTCAGTATTTCACTTTTATTACATTTAATCCTCACAAACAGAGTGGGTGTCTGAAATGGTCTAAGTACAAGTGCTGAGGGTCATAAAGGTGCCGGACCTGGCTGTGGGGCCATAAGGCAATGACCTTGCCACTTGTCAAAGCCTGTAATTGGCTAATAAGTATATTTTATTAGCCATTAGCCTCTTTATAGACAGATATTTCTATAATGACATATTTCATTATAGACGTGGGCTCTGGATGACGCTTCAGTGTTGTTTTTTGAATGAAGGTATTAAACTGGCAAATGTCGTGGCCTGTTCACCATATTACACAAAACTGCCCTCCGTCAATCATATGAGAACTCATTCATTAGAGAGTGACAACCTCTGACACCGAAATACCCAACCTCTGAAATGAAAAATGAATACAGAATTTCAATTTGCAAATGAGGAGATGAAAACTTCAGCTTCTTAGATTTAAGCAACACACACCTCAGAACTGTTTTTGCAGCTCTCACATGGACTGTTATCATATGAAAACTGTTATATTATTTTTTTTTAAATCTACTGTTTAAAAAAATTGTTCACCCAAAAATGAAAATGTGAAAAATTAAGTATACCACATGACTCTAGTCCATCAAATCCAACACCTTGTTAAGCAAAAAGCTGTATGTTTGTACCAATAATAAATTCATCATTAAGACATTTTAACTAAAATTTGAGTCCTCTATCCATAATATTTCTCCAGTAAAAAAAGTAGTTTCGTCTGAATTAGAAGAGAAGTATATGCACAGATCAAGCATGGTTTACAAGCGAACAGTTCTAACATAGGATGGACTTGTTCACTGGAAGGAACGTTATTAAGGACTCTAAATGTCGTAATGATGGATGTTTCTTACAAACACTCAGCTTTTCACTTCACAAGATGTTAATAATGGACTGGAATCATGCTTTTATCAGTTGTTTGGAGTGGACTCTTTCTGACAGCACCTATTCTCTGGTGAGCAAGTAACGTAATGCTAAAATTCTCCAAATCTGTTCTAATGATGAAACTAACTCATCTATGTTTTGGATAGCCTGAGGGTGAATACATTTTCAATACAATTAAACTGTTAATGTCACATAGAAATACATACATTATACACATATGACCCGATCTCACCTCTACCCAAGATGTGAAGCAAGAGAGCCTGGGCCAATATCATCTGCCCTGCCCGGAGTGTACAACCCCACCCACAGTCTGAAGTGATGGTGGAGCCAGGAAGAGCAGGAAACTCTTCTCGATAGGTCAGCCAAACTCGTGAAGTGAAGTCCTTGCGAAATCCATCAACATTACCTGTTACAATATCGTCATCTAATGCCTCAGCAGTACAACTCTCAGAAGGGCTTTCATCATCTGAGGACAACGGTTAGCATAAACATTCCATTATACACCTAGAATTTTGGTGGGTAAATTTTATTTTAAAATGCCAGATATAATAAATATTAAATAAAATTTTAAAATATACAAATAAAACTTTGTGAAGCAATTTGACAGATTATCAAATCGGTTTAAATGTTCTGTGTAAATCATCTTACCCACAGCCTTGAAGTGGTAGCATTTCCCCAACAAGAAAACAGGAGAATTACGGCTGAAGGCAGTTTTTGACTTAAGAGCCCAACCTTGAAGGGTTAAAAACATTTAATGATTAGTAACGTGTGCAGGTATGTCAATTTTGTGACGTGAAAGACTGTCAGATGAACGGAAAATTAACATCTTAACATCCTAGTGACATGTAAGATCTCTCGTTACATACTATATTTCACATTGTGCCATGCTGACATAAACTTGGACTTCAGGTTCTCCACCTCGTCGGTCCCTTTAGTCTCCATTTTATCAGCCACGGAGCAGAACCCATCACAGCACATACGATGGAGTTTCTGTGAAAAGTTTTCAGTACGGCCAAAACAAGTTAACTTACATCGTAATTGGAAACATGTCATTGATTTTACTTTCTCTAATGCTTAGATGACATTTCCACCACAAGTATATGCATGCGATAACGTTGCATATGAAATGATCATCAAATCACTGGCCAGGATACGAATCTATTAACATAAATGCATCTCAAGATACTGGCTGACTAACTTAGCATGCTAATTAATCAGTAAGATAGTTCAGAAGAAAACAGGAGAATTACGGCTGAAGGCAGTTTTTGACTTAAGAGCCCAACCTTGAAGGGTTAAAAACATTTAATGATTAGTAACGTGTGCAGGTATGTCAATTTTGTGACGTGAAAGACTGTCAGATGAACGGAAAATTAACATCTTAACATCCTAGTGACATGTAAGATCTCTCGTTACATACTATATTTCACATTGTGCCATGCTGACATAAACTTGGACTTCAGGTTCTCCACCTCGTCGGTCCCTTTAGTCTCCATTTTATCAGCCACGGAGCAGAACCCATCACAGCACATACGATGGAGTTTCTGTGAAAAGTTTTCAGTACGGCCAAAACAAGTTAACTTACATCGTAATTGGAAACATGTCATTGATTTTACTTTCTCTAATGCTTAGATGACATTTCCACCACAAGTATATGCATGCGATAACGTTGCATATGAAATGATCATCAAATCACTGGCCAGGATACGAATCTATTAACATAAATGCATCTCAAGATACTGGCTGACTAACTTAGCATGCTAATTAATCAGTAAGATAGTTCAGTTTACAAAACTGCCTACAATAAGCGTAAATGCAAACAAGTGGCGAATGCTTTGTAAAATAAGCAATTAAACAATTAAATATACACTTTAAAACATACCTGCTCACATGTCTTCTTCACTGTGCATCTACTCACTTCTGTTTACATTTTGAGGAAGCGGCCATCTCGTTCGGTCTCGCGGTATTTCAGATATTCTCCCGTCTGGCGTCTGACTCATTTCCACTAAACGGTTCTTTTGAACTATTCGTTCCAAAGAACTGTTAAAAAAAAAAAAAAACAAAAAAAAAACATCTCTCGGCTGGAAAGTTTTTTTTAATGTTATAATAAAATTATATATTTATTAAGAACAACTTTGTATATTGATAAAACTGTCATACATTCAAGTAGCAAGAAAGATTTGTAAGACGTTTGTTATTTGTCTTTTATTTGTTTGATACACTGATCGGTGGTTTGACATTGTTTTTTGAACCGGGTTTGTGACATTTATCTATTACTTAAGGTTTCCTGCACTTTATAAGCATTATTTTGCTTTTTACGAAGTATCATTATATTATTCATGATCAGAAGAGTCCAAATTAAACAACAACTATTACAAACCACGATGTGTTTATACACCAATAAAGCTGTCATTGTCTACAGATTACACGACTGGTGGAAGTGGTAACGGATGCATTTCACACTTTTCGCTACACAGATAGCTTCCTGTAAAAGAGCCCTCTATTGTACGCACAGGATATGAATCACTGGGAAGACACCTCCAACCCACGATCCCAAAAGACTGAAAGATGGTGTGCGTTTATTTTTCCGGCTTTACGGTACGTTCTTGTGCGTCTGGAGCGCGTTATTTTCCCCAGCCGTATTCCGACAAGTCCCGCCCCCGACCTGCTCTCTGTTTATTATGGTTACTACGGCTTTATGAGTGACTTCTCAACTGTCCAATCACAGACTTACTTTAGGCGTCAGGAGGCGGGGCTTGTGGAAATACGGGTGCGGGTGGGGAAGGAATATCGCGGCTGGAACGCTGGAGTTACTCTCGAGCACTCAGCGGCTACAGTCATGGCTGAGCGCCGCGCCTTTGCCCAGAAAATCAGCAGGTAAGTATATCTAACGCACCTCCATGCTATTGCGTTTAAATAAATTCTCCCAGCGCCCTGCGACCATTCTTTGTCTGCTGCCTGATGCAGCTGGCGAGCGTGCCAGTCTTTCCCAAATAAGGCCTAGGCGTTGAGTTAGCTGGAGCAGACGCTGAGTTTATAAGGCTGTCTCAAATCCTAGAGAGCTGCCTACCCAGACTACACGTTTGGGTCGAATAGGCGCGTTTGGAATGCCGTCTAGGTAGGTACCTTACTAGGTTTTGGAGCACATCCATAGAGATGCCCGAGTGACCCACCCTAAGCAGCAAGACGGCAGTATGACGCCTTTGTGCTTCTGTGCATTAAAATCAGTCTTTATCCATGGGTCTTATAATCCATAAATGCGCCTTTTGTTAAATCCATCTAACAGTTTTTACGGGATTTAACGATGCAGACGAGGGGGAATCAATGAAATGCAGGGTTTAGGGTTTGTGAGACGATGGCTTGACATACTGACACATCGGGTTGATCATGAGATGTTACACTGTCAGTATGCAAGCATATGGTATATATTAGTGTAGTAGTCAATATGCAGTCATATGGTATATGTTTAGTGCACAACGGCTTTGATTACAAGAAGATGATGTTAAACTCTAAAGTAAATAACGAGTCTGAAAAATAAATGTAAACAATGACTTTAATCCTGGAGACCATGAATAATAATTATGCATAATAATTTCTGGTGTATTAAAGAGAACACCATCAACTGACAAAGGGTTCAGGTTTTCTTGCATGATATTGATGGTTTGCATTGCTGTTGTAGTCATGCAGCTATTATAAAGCCTTTAAGACCATTTCAGACTGAGATCCAGAATGACCTGTAATACAATGTATGATTAAATTTCAAGCAGATACTTTTCCCTGTAATGACACTTGTGTGATTAATGTTTAGATCTGTTCAGATTTTGGCTAGTGGCCCACAATTTGTGGAGCAGGGGCCCTAGGTTATCATAATAGACTATAATTAAGTCTCATCATTGGCTCAAAAACATCTCTTTTCTGTCGAGATTTCCTTTGTGATGTTAAGTTAGAGATTAGACTGTTTATGGATTTAAAAAAAGGAAGTGACTTTTTAGACTCTCTGGTGGTTTCCACAGTCTTGGCATTTCCCAGATGCTTGAAAATGCTGTCGTCTTGTCAGTGACGTGTAATAGGATGATTAGATCAGTTCAGTATAGACTTTGTGGCACCTGGGGCCTTGATTCCAATCGTTACTTGTTAGTTATCCAAAAAAAAAGTGTTTATTGATATGATCAAAGAAAATAGCTATGTGTTTTGTTTTATTCATAAGACAGTATACAGTAGGTATTATCCATAATATAGATTGCAAAAAGCCCCAGAAAAGTCAGTGTCTATCTAATTTTATTTTACACCGTCAAAGCAAAACTGAAAGCGCTAAAAATCTTGAAGTTCCCCACTTTTTATTGAATGAATTGCTAATTATATATTCAGATGAAATTTGAAGCTTCTCTGGAAAGTCACAGAAGCTGTTTCTCATGGCTCTGTTTACTTAAGTGCAAGAAGTTTTCAGAGATGTGTGAAATATGCACTGAAAGTAATGGTGTTAGCCAGTGCCTTGGTAAACAACACATCCACGTGGGCTAATCATCTGTTCCCTCTTCAGGAATGTCCAGCCTAAATAAAAGTCCCTCCAGAACCAACAAGGGCACAGGGGGCAGATTTTAAGAGATATTGACCTGTGCACTATACTACAACAAAGATATTCTGATAATACTGTAAATTTGGTATAGACCAGACACATTGCTTTTATTTAAACCTTGATGGTATTTTTTATTTTATTTTTTTGCTTGTACTTTACAGGCCTGTAATTCAGTCTGTGAAAACTGAATAATAATAAGTTATAATCTTATGTTATTACTCTATAGTAATGAAACTTTGTCAACCTAACCTGTTGGAGGGGCTAAGGTGTATTTTGGTGTGAACTTGCAGAGTTTAGTCTCCATTACAAGATTTGCTAGTATGTTTTTGTATGTTTCTTTTTAACTATTCCTGCTAGATTTCAAGTGTGATTTGCGCATGGTCATCTCAATTTATATTTTGGATTAAAACTGCTGAATGAATGAAAAATATAGAAAATAGTGGGCACATTTTTCCAGTGCATTATTTTTGTGAGTCCAGTATGCTCTATTAGTTTGATGTGTCACAGATTGTTGTTATTTACAAAAGCCTGGGCCAAGAAAAAGATCATAAGACTTTGGCTATATTTGGAAAAGCATACTACTTGTACCATTTTAGCAGTAAGCAGTTTGTATACTGTATATGATATGATTGGAGTTTTCTGTATGCTTGGAGTACCTGGATGTGTACTGCTGTACTGTACTCCTTCATGAACCTCGCTACTGAGAAATGTCATGTAGCTTTTCAGCTGCAAAACTATTTTACTGATAAATTCGCGGGGCAGCGCTTATTTTTATTTTATTTTTTTGCTTGTACTTTACAGGCCTGTAATTCAGTCTGTGAAAACTGAATAATAATAAGTTATAATCTTATGTTATTACTCTATAGTAATGAAACTTTGTCAACCTAACCTGTTGGAGGGGCTTAGGTGTATTTTGGTGTGAACTTGCAGAGTTTAGTCTCCATTACAAGATTTGCTAGTATGTTTTTGTATGTTTCTTTTTAACTATTCCTGCTAGATTTCAAGTGTGATTTGCGCATGGTCATCTCAATTTATATTTTGGATTAAAACTGCTGAATGAATGAAAAATATAGAAAATAGTGGGCACATTTTTCCAGTGCATTATTTTTGTGAGTCCAGTATGCTCTATTAGTTTGATGTGTCACAGATTGTTGTTATTTACAAAAGCCTGGGCCAAGAAAAAGATCATAAGACTTTGGCTATATTTGGAAAAGCATACTACTTGTACCATTTTAGCAGTAAGCAGTTTGTATACTGTATACGATATGATTGGAGTTTTCTGTATGCTTGGAGTACCTGGATGTGTACTGCTGTACTGTACTGTTATCAAGCCATTTTCAGTGGGATGAAAAATCTGGAAATAATATAAACAATCAAGTCTTTCTTGACTGATTTGTTGGCTCATGTTTGTGAATATTTTTACATACAAAGTATGCAAAATAACCATATTTATTTTCTACATGATGATTCAGTGGCACTGAATTAAACATGATGCAATATAGTGACGTCATGTGACAACAATGTTATATGCATCCATGTTGTCATTGCACACAGCTGTATACCATTCAAAAGTTTAGGGTTGGTATGATTTTGTTCGTAATGTTTTTGAAAGGCAGCATATATTTGATTAAAAATACAGTAAAAAGACAAAAAAGTTTGTTTTCTATTTTAAAATGTAATTTGGCAGAATTTGCAGCAGTTATTACTCCAGTCCTCAGTGTCACATGATCCTCAATTCTAATATGCTGATATGGTGCTCAAGAAACATTTCTTTTTAATATCAATGTTGAAAACACTTGTGCTGCTTAATATATATTTTTTTGAAAACCGTGATTCATTTTTTTCAGGATTCTTTGACGACGAGTTTAAAAGAACAGTATTTATCTGAAATAAAAATGTTGTAATGTGATATAATGTCTTTACTGTCACTTTTGACCAATTTAATGCATCCTTGTTGAGTGAAAGTATTCACTTATTTAAAAAAAAGTAGTGATCTCAAACGTTTGAACATTAGTGTTTATAGTAATTGAGTATTTCATTCACAGAGTGAGATGGCAGTCAGGTCATGGGATTCTTATCTGTTTTCTATTATAATGCCGTTCTATGCTGTCTTGTTCTCCAGGACTGTAGCGGCTGAGGTCAGGAAGCAGATTGCTGGTCAGTACGGAGGCTCACCTCAACTTCTCAAAAACCTCAGTGTGGGTGGGAATGCAACTAGCAATGCTGTAAGTACTACATTTCAAAGAGAATATACTTTTCTATCTTAAATCTGAGAGACTGCCTGACACTTCAAAGAGTATTTACCACTATCCCTTCATCATGATACAGACTTTCTTTGAAGATAGCGGCAACAGTTCTCACATTCTCTTTCTGTTCCCATTTGGATTTCTCCCTACAGATTCCTCTGACAGAGGCTGTAGAGCCAGTGGATTTTGAAGAGTATTTGATCACGCACCCTCCCCTTATAGAGTCAGGACCTCTGAGAGATCTGATCGAGTTTCCTCCAGATGACATTGAAGTGCTTTACACGCCAAGAGAGTGCCGAACTCTTGGCCAGGATGTGCCTGAGGAGGGGTGAGTGTGTTCAGGGTGGATTGTTTCGAAGAACTGAGGCATACATTAGTATGTCTCTGTAAGCCAGCATGTACATAGTTCAAGAGATATCATTGAACAAAATGAAATCAGATTGTCTGTGTGAACAGTTTTAAAATCTATGCTGTGATTATCTCAATAGTCATATAGGCCTAAAAGCCTTTTTTTTTTTTACTTATAAATTAATTTGTATATATTGTTTGCACATAAATAGTAGTATCACATTTGTGACCCTGGACCACAAAACCTGTCTTAACTCGCTGGGGTATATTTGTAGCAATAGCCAAAAATACATTGTATGGGTCAAAATTATAGATTTTTCTTTTATGCCAAAAATCATTAGGATATTAAGTAAAGATCATGTTCCATGAAGATATTTTGTAAATTTCCTACCGTAAATATATCAAAACTTTAATTTTTGATTAGTAATATGCATTGCTAAGAACTTCATTTGGACAACTTTAAAGGCGATTTTCTCATTATTTAGATTTTTTTGCACCCTCAGATTCCAGATTTTCAAATAGTTGTATCTCTGCCAAATATTGTCCCATCATAACAAACCATACATCAATGGAAAGATTATTTATTCAGCTTTCAGATTATGTATAAATCTCAATTTTGAAAAATTGACACTTAAGACTGGTTTTGTGGTCCAGGGTCACATTTATTCTTATGGTACGCAGGCATACTGCTTTAATATATTTTACTTGTTCCTCCTCTTAAATAATTTTCCAGTGAGAATGATTCACACGTTAGAGACTGCACCCGGTCTTACACTGAGGACTGGGCCATCGTTAACCGCAAGTATGATGCTTCACTACATCTGTTCTCTCTTTAGACTTCATACAGCCCTTTTCTCCTGATACATGGGATTCTGATGCATGGTTTTAAATATGGAAAATGTGTTAAGTGGAGCTGAAAGTGTTACGTTCTTAGTACCTCTTTGTGATTAACGGATGTTCCAATCCTGCGGAAGTATCTGCAACACTGTCTGTGGATTTCTGCAGGCACAAATTTTGTGTGGGCCTGCTCATAAATGACAAAGAGGAATTCCAGTGCTTTTTGCCTACAGTCTTTCTTCAACATGCTGCTTTTATGATACTTTTCACTGGGGCTTTTAACTTAAGCAGCTTCCTAGATATTTATAGGGCCTTCATAAGTTACTGTGAATAAGTTACCTTGGTGATTCTTAACTGATAAGCCCAAACTCTTATCTTGACGGAGTTCATATAATGGTTGTCACTGTGACCATGTATAGTAATCCAAACATATACTGATTATTTTTACCCAGTCATTGAGAGAAAAGTAAATGGAAGGGAAGTAATTACTGTCATTAAGGTTGAAAGTTTAGCTTAAGCCTGCAAACTTTCACATATAATTATGTGAACTGAATGTGTGTAATTTTATCCATCAGTGACAAAGCACCACTGAACTGAATTTTAACATTACTATGTAAAATACTCATTACATAAAATACAGCTTTTTTTCTTTACTGATAAAATATAAAAAATGTGATAGTTTCACATAATCTTGTTTTATTTATTTATTTAAAATTAGTAGTAGTGATTCGTTTTAATTAGCTATTACTTAACACATGTATTCACATTTTTTGTGGCTATGATTAAACAGAAGTCTCTTAATTCCCCCCCCAAAAAAATAAGTTTAGGCATACATTTTTATTTTTTAGATGTCTAATTATGTCATAAAAATGCTTTCCATGTAGGCTTGCTGCGATAGACGGTGTTTTCGGTTATACCGGTGTTAAGCCGCAACATCGGTTATGTCATTTACTACCGCGGCACCGCCCCCCCACTGTCGTTTTGATTTTTTTTATAGTAACAAAAATAATTTAGCCTAGTTCAGTTAGAAAACTCAAACGAACAATTGCTTGACGCCGAATTGCGGCAGGTGCCGCTAATTTGAAAGTGAAAGTAAAATTTGCACGGCACTTTTACAAGCCATTTGAAAGCGAATAAAAGAGGGAAACTCAAACGAACTAACCCCAACACCAAAGATGATGCCGGTATTACCGGTGTTGTCACTCGTCGATTAACCGGTGGGAAAATTTCCTCACCGTTACAACCCTATTTCCATGTCAATTTTTATTTATTTATTTCATTTATTTTCATTCATTTATTTTGCTATGGTTAAACGGATAACTTTCTCAATTCCAAGAAAAAAAAAGAAATTAATTTAGGCTTACATTTTTATTTTTTGAATGCCTAATTATGTCATAGAAATGCTTTCCATGTCAATTATTATTTATTTATTTATAAAAAACAAAGTCTTAAATGACATTTACATTTTATCATTGCATGTACATGAGGGGAAATTTGGATGGAACATTTAATCAATACATTTTATTAGGTCTCTTTTTGTATACTGATTAGCATACAGGTAATAAAGTATTTTGGATGCACAGGTACCACAAGTTGGGCACCGCATTTAATCCCAACACTTTGGATAAGCAGAAGGAGAGGCAAAGAGGTTTACCCAAGCAAGTTTTTGAGTCTGACGAGTTGCCAGATCACAGCAGCTATCAAGATGATCAGGTAAACCTGTCTTTGCTACTGTTCCGTGTTATGTAAAGTTTTTTTTTTTTTCTTAAGCCCAGAAGAATAATTGCACAATATCCCTGTGAGTTTCTTTTTGAATTCACTGAATATAAACACTGACTTTTGCATGTCACAGGATGATCTGAAGCGAAGGTCCATGTCAATTGATGACACTCCACGTGGCAGCTGGGCTTGCAGTATATTTGACCTGAAGAACTCTCAGCCTGATGCTCTGCTGCCTCACCTTCTGGATCGAGTACCCAACGAAGAAATCGACCGCCACAATGAGGACCAGCGCAAGTCAAACCGCCATCGAGAGCTCTTCGCACTGCATCCTGCTTTGGATGAGGTAGAGCATGATATTTTGTTTCAATATTTCCAATATTGTGTCTAAAGATACGGATTACCAAAACACTTCTTGAATTAATCTTTTTTTCTCATGTAGGATGAACCCATTGAGCGCCACTGTGTGCCTGATGTTCCAAAAGAACATTTTGGTCAAAGGCTTCTTGTCAAGTGCTTGTCCTTGAAGTAAGTGGGGAACAGCTTGTGTGGACTGAAATATAACGCTAATGGTTACAACGTTGCTGATATGATTCTCTTCTTCCTTTTAAGGTTTGAGATAGAAATTGAGCCAATATTTGCAAGTTTGGCCTTATATGATATCAAAGAAAAGAAAAGGGTAAGCTGTTATAATTCCCTGTGTGATGTATAAGTTAAAAGTTGTGTAAGCATATAAAATAATGAATATTAATTAATTCACTGTCATAGTGAATTATGGTGCCATAAAAATATACACAATGGATTACATCAAACTTGCAAATCGGAAGATAATTTTCTTTTCTTTTTTGTATTGCATTTATAAAACCACTTTTGATGGGATTAAATTTAGATTTTTTTAACCCAGTGGATTTCCAAAAGACATTCAAATACAAGTTCAAAGATTTTATTAGTTCCTTCCCTCTGACATCCTAACATTCTCCTCAGATATCAGAGAACTTTTACTTCGATTTGAACTCTGAGCAAACGAAGGCCATGCTGCGACCGCACATCCCATCTGCTGCTATCTCCACCCTGGCCCGCTCTGCTGTCTTTTCAATCACCTACCCTTCTCAAGACGTCTTCCTTGTTATCAAGGTTGGTTACATCATTCAGCATCATTCTTAACATTCAGATCCCTATTCATGAGCAGAATATATATTTTGTTCTTTTGAACTTTGTTTATCAATGAATCCTGGAAAAAATGTATCATGATTTCCACACAAAAAAAAAAAATATATATATAAAAAAAAAGTTTTTAAGATTTTAAGATCAACAATAAGAAATATTTCTTGAGCATCAAATCAACAGATTAGAATTAATTCTGAAGGATCATGTCACTCTGAAGACTGGATAATATAATCTCTATATAATATATTTTATAATTATGTATTTATTTTTTAAACATTATTGCATGCATTGATGTTTTCAAGTCAATATGGCATTAATGGATTTATGAAGTGTACAATTTTTTGTAATTGCATGTTTGATGATCATTGCATTGATTTTATGTTTGCATTGATGTTCGTTTATTGCTTAATTTGAGTGTTTTGAGTAGTGTTCACTAAAGCAGTGCATTGTTGCACTGTGTTTGCTTTCAGCTTGAGAAGGTGCTTCAGCAGGGAGACATTGGAGAGTGTGCAGAGCCTTACATGGTCTTTAAAGAGTCAGATGCTGCCAAAGTAAGCCATTCATAACAGTTTATACATTGTGCACCAGCTCCTAGTGGAATTCAGCCCAGCATGGTTACTGTTTTTATATTCTGTTCTCTGGTATTACAGAATAAGGAAAAGCTTGAGAAGCTACGCAGTCAGTCCGAACAGTTCTGTCAGCGACTAGGGCGTTATCGGATGCCCTTTGCCTGGACGGCCATACACCTCATGAATATAGTGAACAGTGCCGGCAGCCTAGAGAGAGACACAGAGCTGGAGATGGGGCTGTCAGGTGAGTCTTTAAATGACACAGATGATTGTGCATGTTTAGCCTGTACTTGTACTTAGTTTGAAATTATTTTTCCGAACAAAATTTGAATGAGTGATGAAGTGAGACTAGTCCCATATTTCATTTTGGCTCTTAATGCCATACCACAGCGTTTGATCTGATCTCATAGTACTGAAGTTTTAACTACTTGATTTTGCACTATTGCACAGAACGGAAAGGCTCTTGGTCTGAACGGAGGAACTCTAGTATTGTGGGACGTCGTTCGCTGGAGAGAACCACCAGCGGAGATGAATCATGCAGTCTGACCAGCTTCAGACCAGCTACCCTGACAGTCACCAACTTCTTCAAACAGGTCACGCTGTTATTAAAAAAACTAAACATCCCAGTATTGATCTCGTTCATTGAAAGTTGACTGTCCTTCAGTTATCGGTCGTTGCATAGGTCAGACCGCTAAAGCTAATAAATACTCCTGCTTTTGACATTTGAATATGTTTTTTATGTTTTATTAATATGTCATATCAGGAAGGAGATCGACTAAGTGATGAAGATCTCTACAAGTTCCTAGCTGACATGAGGCGCCCATCCTCTGTGCTGCGTAGACTGAGGCCCATTACAGGTAGAGCTCTTTTGGCATGTTTATTTTGGCCATATTAACATTTATGTAGTGAGTTATGTAACTGATTTACTAAATACCCTCAGCCCAGCTGAAGATTGACATCTCACCAGCCCCCGAGAACCCTCACTATTGCCTGACACCTGATCTGCTCCAAGTGATGCCTTACCCAGATAGTCGAGTGCGGCCAACAAAAGAGATCCTGGAGTTCCCTGCCAGGGACATTTATGTGCCCAACACCACTTACAGGTATAAATGTTAAGATCAGTAATTTTCAACCTTTTTGACTCCCAACACCCACCCATTGTCCACAATAATATTCAATAAGTTACCCTATTCGCTAATATTACCCTATTCAAGTGAGACTTGAAATGTAGATGTTTGATGTGTAGCACTTTTTATTTATAGCACACATTTAAAGGGGTCATATGATGCGATTTCAATTTTTCCTTTCTCTTTGGAGTGTTACAAGCTCTTGGTGCATAAAGAAGATCTGTAAAGTTGCAAAGACTAAAGTCTCAAATCCAAGAGATATTCTTTATAAAAGTTAAGAGTCAACCACGCCTACCTAAAACGGCTCGTTCTAACACACCCCACATGTCTACGTCACGATGTGAGAAGATTTGCATAACGCCGCCCAAACGTTCACGCAAAGAAAGAAGGCGTAACTTATTCTCGCTGTA